CTCTACATAAACGTTCTCACATCAGAATTATCCCTAGTATCTTAGAAGATCCCCGTGTATGAAGCAATCGGCTGGATTCTACAAGGTCAGTTTACTTACAGTGCGTATCTCAAATTCAAATACACATTTTGATTCTATGAAAGTAGTCGCAGAAATATCTTCCATATTACAAAAAGATTCTGTTCACACGCTAACTGTGGCTTCTAAGCAAAAGCTGGAAATTGGAGACACCGAACTAATTAATTTGGCGGCTTATTGCTAATCCGATAATTGGGACTACAACTCTGCAGTTGTTCCACGCCTGTGAAATTTCCCTTAATCTAAAATCCTCCAATTTTAGCCTACATATGTTCTTGCGCAGTTCTTAGGCACATGGACACAGTACAGTATTTTTTAAAAACTTTCAACTGGCTAAATAATTTATATTCGTTACGGTACGCCTGTCTTTGAAGAACTGGTTCTTAGGCAAGTAGCCCCTTACATGTAGTTAATTGTAGGTTTTATTTTTCTGATATAACATGAAACATGAAAAGGAGCATTGTAAATACAGTCGTAGTATTAGGAAGGCGATGTTAACTGATGGTGTTAGCAGAAAAAAAAGCATATGTTGACTAACGGGAGCAAACTCCATCCTCAGGCGAATTTCCTACAAGGCGAAATAAAAGAGCCTTGTTTGATTTTGTGCGTGTGCAACCATTTTAATTGCTCTATATTTTGCTCATAGAGTGTAATAATGCGGTTAGACCACGAGACAGTTCGGCATCCCCGTCTAATTTCCAAAATATCCTCAGAAGGTGTCAGAATAAGGTAAATCGTTGTGTCTCAGTAAATCCCTTTATTTAAAAAAAGTGGCCTAAATATACTAGGTCGATTTTGTGGCTGTAAGTCTTTATACGTCAGTCGGCGCTAAATGACTGTCGAATTAGACTATGAAGCGGACCATGATGAATCAAGATACGGTGTATTTAGATTACTCGTCTGCATAGAACATTTAAAAAGGTTACTGGCATATTTTACAGCAGTTTGCCCACACATGTGTATTTTTGCGTTGGCAAAAGAAGTGGCAACATTTGAGAGACCCAACTGAACTAGATTTATCCTAGGCTTTTATGAATGATTGCACTAATCACAAGCAGTGCGAATGCTTTCCCGGGATATTCGAATTTATGCCCTAATTAGTGGAAAATCAGATGCATGATTACAACGCAAATCCAATCGATTTCTAAATAAAGAAACAAAGAAATATTCTCAGATTAATCATTTTAAAATCAGGCATAATTTCGGCAGCAGGCATCTCACCGGTGTGTGTCCAATTTACGAAAACCGAGACAAAGGATTCGTCCAAATGCCATTCGTACGTTTCCCACTCATACTCGCTTTTGTTGAATTTTCCATTAAACCAGACTTCTTTGTTCTCATTCTGGAACGTTACTTCTTAAATTGTATCCGACAGTAATGAGATGGTTATGATGAACAGTGCAAAACAAATACATTTACTATATAAGAGGATGAATTCATTTAGGCACTGTTATTCGAAGCCGAGTCAACAGCGTTTTGTGACATAAAGAAAGGCTGTGGACCTTGACGCAGTTAAGCGATTTTTTGTTTCAGCCAACTAATGATAAAACTGGCATCACCTCCTCGTGGTTCACAATGCATCATTCGGTTTGACTTATGTGTGTCTCCTAGAAGACCTCACAGGCAGTCGCACATGAAAAAGGATAAATTATCCGGAAATGGTGACTCGAGTGGTTACTTGTGACTCTTAAGTTTTTATAAGCTGGTCACATTCACTAGCTAAATCGGTATAAATTCAATCATTTAGGTCAGCTCTCATAAGGGCTTCTTACGGGGTTTTGAGAATGTCCAGTCATCGCCAATAATCTCCGAGCACTACATCCGGTATATTTTATTCTAACTAATAAACTTCTCAGTCAAGGTTCGATTTCCTGTTTTATTTGCCTCGTATAAAAACAATACTACAATTGGTCAAAATCATGCGAGTAAATTTACAGCTAACAGGTAAGCAGTTATCCTCCATTACACGACTAATAATAATATCATTTGCTTCCGGGAACGTAACCAAAAATGCAAAATGATCCTTTTAATTTATCTGTTAGATTCGATTTTTACGGCATGCCAGATGCGATTCTCAGAACGGCGTGTCCTTGCTGCTGGATACTGTGACTGTCTGAATAAACCATACGCTGCCCCTTCATAAACATAGACTCAAAGCATTTTAAGGGGAGATGATAGGAGACTTCATTTGACCGCCCTTGCAACACTTTTCGCTCCCATTTTGGACAGTACTGGGAACACATGGCAATTGTAGATGAGATTAAAGTATTCACCTCAAAAGTGTGAGCGAAATACGGTTGCTGGAGGTAGACACCCAGAAATTCTTGGGGGTATCTTGGTTACGGTTTCGCTTAAAACGTCGTTCTGATGCTCCAAGTTAGCCAATTCCGCGATGTCAACCCTTTACATTGTAAAGCGGGCTTTCTCTCCGTAAACGAGGACTGTTTCGCTAGAGTCGTTAGGGGGTTTGTGCAGCCACAGTTAGAGTTCTCTATTTTAGCGTGCAAACCGTGAACCGCTGAAGACCTCGGCATCCTGAAGAAAGTTCAAAGGCAGCCAACCAAACTCTTCAGTGGACAGGACTCTATTCCCTACGAAAGACGGTTATCCAATCTCCGTCATTTTAGTCTGAGGCACAGACAGTTAAGAGGCGACTTGATACAAACATACCGTATTATGCGCAGCCAGGACTGCTGTCTCGTACCTGCTGACTTCTTTGAGTTAGCAACCACAGCGAACCTCCGAGGTCAACCACTCAACCTAAGTATGACTGGCGCCAGGCTGGCCACACGAAAGTTATTCTTTTCCAACAGAGTGGTCGAAACTTGGAATGCTCTGCCTGCAGACATTAACATGTCAACATCCGTCGAGGTTTTTAAGCGAAAGCTGGATCGCTATACCACCACACATCACATTGTTACCCGACAGATACCGTCTTAGCGGTCCGTTTTAACAGTTTACTAGTGCTGTAATATTACTCACTGCATTTCAGTAACGTCTAGTTTTGTTGATTAGTGTCCCGCGTCCTTTGAATGTGAATATTGACATTTGCTTCGTCTCCCCCGATAACTGAGATCGGCACAATTATTCGTGAGCTGACTAGTGTAAAGCACATTTATTAATGATAGTGTTTTACTACTTGGAAAAATGCGTTTATCTCCTCGGTTTCAGAAGGGTGTCTGTAGCAGTTTGATGTTTCCTTTGTCCATTTTTTCATATAATTCGCTTCCTTGTAAGAAACAGGGAGTTCTCTCAAATAAACTGAACTGAACTGGACTGAAAACTTGAGAATAGTCACTTTTTATTTTGGATTGCGTCAGAGTAGTAAATATACTCAAGGCGAGTAATATTGTGTCATTTCGCACGATGCTCTCATTTTTTTTCAAGAAACATATTCAGCGTCATCAAAATGCTTGACATACTACATCTTCTCTCATCCGCATAAAACGTTTACTGTACACGACAACAGACAGGAGGGTACGTTAAACCAACAATTAAGTATTTTCATCAGAAGATATCATGGAGGCTTTGGTAAGCTGAGTTTAAATAAAACAGTTTATGGAAATGCCACAGCGTTCTATTTATTTAGGAATGGAAATTTTTAGTTTTCAGCACGAAAAAACACTGGGGTAGGAGTGAAAGGTACCATATTTGCTCTAGATTTATGCATGAAATTTTAAATAGCCAAAATAACAACAGTTTTGACTGTCAGAAGAAGAAGAAGAAGAAGAAGAAGAAGACGAAGAGGCGTTCACCGGAACGGGTTTACTGGAAGTCTGACGTTTCGAATATTTGGTTCGTTTACCCATCTTCAGATACTGGGAAGTCCCGCGCACGAGTCCTCTTATAATGGCACCCTTTGTTCAATGCGTGGCCCGTCAACGCCGCCTGTGTGGCTGCTGTCACCGTGACCTGAATCGCCCCCGTTGGTCGCGGAGATGACTGACGGCCCCGATTGTCGCGCGCCTTGACTATCCCCCGCTAAGAAGTTTCGTAAAGTCAGATAGGGGGGAGGCAAATTGATGTGTCGGTTGACAGAGCAGTCGGTAGAAATCCAGGCTTCTTGCACTTGCCTTTCTGTATGATCACCGCCACGGACCACAATCTCAACGGCGTCAAAGTTGAAGATGTGTCCCATTTGCGCGGCATGGGTTGCTACCTCCGACTTTGGGTCCCACCTTCGCACGGCCAACTTATGCTCGTGCATTCGCGCTTGCAATCGCCAAAAGATCCGATCCCCCAGCAAGATATGCCGGTCGTTGTCTACCGACTTCAATGCGGCTGCGGAAGGTGCAACTACGTCAGCGAAACCGGCCGACGGCTGAAACCGCGAATGCACGAGCATAAGTTGGTCGTGCGAATGTTGGACCCAAAGTCGGAGGTAGCAACCCGTGCCGCGCGAATGGGACGCATCTTCAATTTTCACGTCGTTGAAATTGTGGGCCGTGGCGATGATCATACAGAAAGGCAACTGCCGGCAGTCTTTCTATTTGCATAGTCAGCAAATTTTCTAAATGGTTCATTACGGACTTACACGGTCTTTGCAGAGATAGACTGACACATTCGAAAGTCTGTGTGCTTTTCGTAGTGATCTTAATTCACGGTGGTACTGCAACTTTGAGATCTAATGTGCGCACCCGCCCCTCCTTCCCCCTCATTGAGCATAGGACACTGGGTGGTGGGGACCGATGACCCTTCCTTAGGATAAACTCTATGGCTGTTTTAAATTAAACAAATGAGCAATCTGATAACCCGAAACAACACTCTCTATGTCCTCGCCGGCGTTCTGTCTTTATCAGATTTTCGAGGGACCTTGTTCGGCACCATTTGCTTTTAACTTCTTTTATTACTGATTTAAAGTGTATTCTTACGGATTTCGACGAAAATGCATCAACTTCTCTTGACAGTGAAATGTGCATGCGTTGTTGGGTTTCGTTAATGCAGAAAAACATTGTTACTTTTCAAGCAGGTATATTTTAATACTGTGCGTGGCAGCAAAAAATTATCCTTATGTTTGCGAACTCCCCTTATGGCTGTTTTTGGTTGCGCCGCCAGTTTTTTGGAACAAACAGAATGAGTCTTGATGGAAATCAGACAAATTTGCGAAATATACATAAATGCAGAAAACTGCTTTTGAAAACCCAGAAGATCTTTGCTTGGCATTCAATTTAAAATCTGCTTTTTTAAATATCAACTGAAAAATTTTGCCAAACATGTTTTGACCATTGATTTACCGTTACTACTTTAGTTTTCAGTTAAAAATAAAAGGTAGATACAACGTTTTTCACGACTTTCTTGGGACATTAGGCAGTAAATATCCGCAGCAGATAAACGTACGACAGAATTGTGGATTCTCTTCTGCTGTCTGTTTATTGAAATGACAGAGGACTTTATCTCCCTCGTACAATTCTATCTAAATTAAAGAATCAGTATGTCTGTCAGACTGGAGTTGACGGGCTAAATTAACAAATCTTGAGAAAATGCACGCCGCAGCATTACCTAAATTTGCAGTAATTTATCAAAGCTCGCCCGGTAATGATTGGATATGTAGACCTCAAAATATATTATTATGGCATGCCTAATTATTTGATTTAGACAGGCATGCTACGCAAGTATCAATTTTACGGCGGGATTTTTTGGTGAGGATTATGCCTTAGGTTTGGCATTCGGGTTAGGCTGACATTAAGGGTCACGGTTTAATTCTGGTGCCTTTATTTTGCAGTTAGGCCTACCACTTTAAGTTCGGATTAATGCTAGGGTTTACTTGAATGTTCTGATTTGAATTAGGCGTTGGGTAGGGTTTTTGCTTTGAGATGCGGGCGGCTTTGCTTAAATAGATGGCTTAATTGTGAGAGCTAGGGAGAAGGTTAGGTTTGAGGTTAGAAGCAATTTCAGGTTGACGGTCAAGTTTATTTGCCACGAACTGTCTTACCCAGTCCGACGTTTTCTAATTAGTTTCTTCGGACCACCTGTTTTCAACCCGTTTACCCTACCATAGTTTTTATCTGCCTGTTCGAATACTTCGTTGGCGTGATAAAACTAGTATGTGACCGAACCACACATTTTTGTAGTTCCCTACACAAGTTCCCATAATTGACGCGTCCATCTTCTCTAATTAGGAAACTTATATTGACACCTCTCCCATATTTCGGAAGTATCTGTGTTATGTTTTCTCGGGGGGCTTAAATATCCAACCACTTTCACACGGTTATTTTAATTTCCTAAGTTTCTGCAAACCGCTTTAAATTCTTGTTCACGGAAAGATATCAAAATTGTCACTCCGAACATCGGGTAATGTCCTAGCATGTAAGTGGTCTTATGTTTATTTACGGATCGGTTAAGTTCCTAAATATCTTCTCGAATTTTCATTGCCAGTGTAAGTGGTCATTGTGTTAGACATCGACATCTGTATCCTTCAGCCGGTAAATTGACTACACAGCTCAAAGACTAACACTTCAGATTATGTGAAGCCGAGGGGTCAACGTTGTGGTGATAATTCCATATTGGACGTCAACATCTTCTAAAGATGTCGTCTTCCAAAATACATCTGCTGGATACAGTCACATTTACAGCAGGACATCGCAAAAATTTGCAAAACTTGCATTTGAGTGGATGCAGAATTTTCGAAAAGTCTTAAAACACGCTAAACAATAACCATATGCTAGAACCCTGCAAAAGATTCGCTGATCAGTGCTTCCGATCGCGTTATTATATTAATGTCAGAAAGAGATTTGTTAAAACTTGGGACATGCTTGCTTTCTGATATAGAAAGTGTTCCACAGATATCCCATTTCAACTGTGCTATTTAACATTAATCATTCGTATTGGATCAATTCGGCCCAATGTTTGTTCTTTTGAAGAAATTCATTATGGTCTGTAATTATAACCCCTACAGTTATTAAACTGGGATGCATGTACTTACCGAAAAATTGGTCTGGCCCACAAATGCAGCAAATGTGATATAGACTTCGTCATGTCCCCCCATAAATCGGGAGAGTGGTAACGATGCCTCCGGCATAGCGGTCCCTGAAATAACAAAGTATGCGTTGAATGCATATTAGGACTTCAAGTCATAGTTTAAACAACAAAACTACTGCAGTCACAAGTTCCGCGTTCGGCTTGCTTGAATTTTACATTCTTCAAAATTCAGGCGAATTTTGGGAAGAGGCAATAGACTTAATGACAAAAAGGTGTTCTTACCTGCCATGGATGTTGGAAAGACGCAGTCAGGGGCAAAAAATGTGGAGTGATAACTAATGTCCTCTATTGTTAACATCGTATGATTGGTCACGGAGGAAAGCCTAATTTCCGTCAAAAATCCTTCAGAATCTAAAAGTTGATTTTGAATTTTTTATTCACGAAATAATTAAGCTTTTATGGAGAGAAATATTCGACAGGGTGCAAGCATTTGAAGTACGTGATTTGTTTTAATAGTGTATATAACATTGCTTGTCCCACCGATTGTTCACAAAAGTCTGCGTATGCGGTAAATATTTGACAAATTCAATAGAGCAAGCACCTTGAATTGCTAATCATTGGCACATAAGTTTGCTATTTCTGAAAGCTAGCAGCAAGTAAACTACGTTGACGGGTGAAGGCGTCTCTGCCCGTTATTTTACAAATTTACTAGTAAATATATGATAGTTGTTTAGGTACATCCAACCGTTGCATTTTTTGAACACTTGTCTTCCAAAAAATTCGAGTCACCAAACGAACAGTTGTTCTGCAAAATATTACAACTGTTTAGCAGAGGGGAAAACTAATGGAAAAATTTTGTATTTTAAGCGTTTATAAATTTTTTCATATTTCGTTAACTTTCATAATCATCAGAAATGTGGTTGACGTTAATATGCTGGGAGGACCTCCTGAGACATCCTTAGCATTTAAAGTTAGTAAAGTTGCAAAGAGTGCATACCATTTGTAAAGGCGCACGGCTCTCTGACTTTGTCACCAAGTAAGAAACATGACCCATTAGTAATTTCTAGTTCTTTGCCATCAAGATATACTGACTATAAAGGAGAAAAGGATTTTTAATATATTTACTCCCATAATATGGTCTCACTCAAGAAATGCTTGTGCTTACAGCTGATGTATATTCCAGCAGATGTTCTTTTTTAAACCATAATGGCGACATACGGCAAATATGATCCATCTCGATTTTTATGTTGGACTGTAAAGTAAGTCAAGCGACTCGTGTGTGCTAATGACGAGGTTTATGAGGCCCTAATAACTCAACGTCCGTGTTCCTCATGCTGATTACTTAAAGTTGCCTTCACAAGTACAGCAACGCTGACCGTCAACGATAGTCCAACTACATCGCCCGGTCTCCGCTAAAGAAATTATCAATCTGATTGCTTATTAATAAGTTTTTGCTTTTGCTTAAATATTTTCGTTCTTTAAAAAGGCGTACAGAAATTTGCCTAACGCACTGATCTGCCATTGCCTGTTCTTACTGCTCCTTTTACGATAATAGACGAAAATCCGACCTCCATCTAAATGGAAGATAACCGCAGTATATCCGTTTACGAAAATTTTCCCTCGAGACTATGATCGTAATGCGCATGTACATACAACTTGTTTCTGTTCTTGCGTCTCCTGTCCCTGTGCTTCTACTTGCAAACATGCCTTTTGATGCCCTTTTGAATTTCATAACTGCAACCTTTTATCTATACACGAGAATAGGTTTCGAGGTCTGCATGTCATAAGTTACAGACTGCAGTCCACGTCACTTTGTAAACCTACTTTTTCATTTGCACTTCTCATCCAGCGCGAACAAGATCCTCTCGCATCGACCGTTATTTATCACCAGCTGTTCTGCCGATGCCTGCAGCAAAAGTATATGCTGCGTGTATTGCCTTTTGTATTCTCTTTTATATCAAGTTCCTCGTATTTGGAATTTAGTGTTAGATATTATGTGGTTTAGAGCGTATTTGATTTTTGCAACTGATGTACACTACAGAGTGCATGATTCCTAATAGCATATTGACGTTGTGCTTACCGGTTCATTGTCGGTTATATAACGTAGAATGGGCGAAGGACCGCTAGTCTCAGTGACTACCGACGACCCCCATTTGACTGAGGGTCCTCCGTCTATAATAGTTGAAATGGGCAAATTGAACATTAACAATTCAGCGGTCAACTCTAAGTAATATTTTTTTTCTCTGATTGAGCATTGATATCAGCACAGCCAGGTTATTTACAGCATGCATGGAATCATTCATGAATATGTTTTTGGCTAGAATTACAGCTTAAAGTTTTATTATAACCTCTCGGCCCTTCCGAAATGATACAAAAGTTGAATGATTGCAGTGAACACGCTTCTTAGAAGAGCTATCTAGGAACTGCCAATAACAGACAAAATACGTCAATCTACCGTTGGAAAGCAAGGTATCTCCAATGCTTTCAATCAGGCCGCAAGCATATTACGGTTCTCCTGGGAATGATAACTTAGGAGGAAGTTTCGATTGGTGATTTGTTGGGTATTTCACATCGAAGAACGTCCCTCCAAAGGACTTCCGTCTCGGATATACGCCAGTCTTTTACAACTACTATCTAGCACTTTTCATTTCGTTCCTTTCGGCACACCCAGCTTATCAGTTCTTTTTTCGAAAAGATGAGCGAGAATTGAAAAACGATTCCTTGTCTGCAATGGACATCAAATCTTTAAATGCAGGGCCTTTGCAGTGACTGGATGGGATAAAGCACGCATTTTTCCATTTACTCTTCAAAGATTTCCCGTCATCAGCGTGTATTCAGCTCCTACAAGTCAAGTTTAAACCCCTAGTAAAGACAGCAGCAGGGCTTGAGCCTACTTACGGTTTTCGGTGCCGTTAGAAATCCTTTTTGGATTCATCCACTGTTGCTTCTTAACGGTGTCATGCATACTTCCGACCAGGTCCTTAACATATTTCATTAAGGATTGGCAGAAAATATGGCAAAACTACTGTTTAGCATGCGCGACATTTACGGGCAATCTTGGATCCAGTGTAACTGCTATTTCAATTTGTTCACCAAGATTATATATCATCGGCTTGATGGTCGCGTGTTAGTGTTACCATTCTGAACGCATTGCTTTCAGGAAATTCCTAGACGCTACAGTAAAGCTCTTCCAAGTGAGGTGCGGAAATGGCGCATGACATTATTTAGTTACAACATTTTAGAGGGTATGAAAGATGTATTTGAGTTTCATTGATGTTTTGGCAGATTTTTGAATTATTCACAGTTGGGTCAATATGAATAATTCAAAAATCTGCCAAAACATCAATGAATTACGCGAGCCTGGTAGTCATCTGGTGGATTCTAGGTGAATTACTTAGGAAATCCTGCTTGAGCAGTCAACTTACTGTATCAGATTTGGTGGATTCCAGACGTTGCAGTAGGTTGGGCGGGTAACTTGACCCACATGTGATTAAACTCGCGTCGTCCGGCGGGGCCTCGTAGCTCAGGTGGTTAGAGCGTTAGCTGCGCTAAAGCCTTCCCCTTACTGCGTGGGTTCGAATCCCACCGAGGCGCCGAGTTTTTCACAGTTGGGTCAATATGAATAAGTATTTGAGTTTGTACGGACATCGAAATTCACTGGGAAATATATAAATTCTTACGTGGCCACCTTTGGCTAAATGCGGTTTCGGACGTGGCCGAAAAGAAACTCATTTAGAGAACGGCATTCTCGTGTTAGTAAAATAATTCGGGATAATGCGGCACAATAATAAACATTGTAGCCTCACTATGGTATTCTTTTCTGATATAAAGCGCATTTCGGAAATGCCGGCTAAAATACCATGCGATAGGTGAGATGCTCTAAACGTACTTTAACTCGTTCTCCCGCCACATGCAAAGTCTATGAGCGTGAAGAACATTGCCAAGAATTCCATTTTTATTTTAAATTTGGCTGCCGCCCTGGGGCCGGTTTTTAGTCGATTGAGTTGCTTTTACTGTGAGGCATTAAATATTTTAAAATAAGGCTGCTTTACGCTTACCCCAACCAGACTTCTGTAGTGCGGTTGTTGAAACTCACCGGAGTTTGCCGTGTCTAATTTGAAGTAGCATTAGCAAAGTCAACATGCTTATGGCAAATTCCGTATAACGACATTAGCCGGCCCATTTACGTTCTAAGCGGTTTTATTGGTACCAATAAATTCTACCGTCTTTGCCTGCTTTAAATTCATTTCGGGGAAATATTGCTTAAGGTTTTAGTTTTTTCTCGCCCAAAGTGACGAATAAGGCAAAGAAATGAAAGCACCGCATAATTCTCCTAAGAGGGAGAGTATAAACTCAAAAAATATAATTGAAATAAGAATGATAATTGAAGTGTCAATTCGTGCTAGGTGGGTTCACGTCTCACAGCAGAATTGTAAAAAATAGGAATGGTGATTTGAAAATAATATTCTTGCAAGGGCTGTGGCTTAGACAGCGGTGCTTTAATTAAACCGGGCTGTCTTTTTGATGCCTGTCTTGCCCATATCTGCAGTCTACTTCAACGTTCAGAACTGATAAACTAGTACTAAACTAAAAAGTTGCTAAAACTTTTTTGAGGTAAATTGCACGAAGTGTATTTCCGTAATAGTCATTCCTTTAGAAAATTTTGTTTAGCACAGACAAGAGCTTACTGATTTTACGAGTAGCCCACACATATGATGACAAGTTGAACGACCATTTTTGTGCGTTGCCACAATAATGACACTTCTGAGCAAATCATATAGGATGTCTTTTCAGAGCGACATTCATAGATATATTGCATAATCCGCCACTATGACTGCACTGGTAATTGCTAAATGCACAGTCATGTCTTTTGCCGTTTTTGCCTACTGCATGAGACGTATGCGAAAATTTCGGCCTACTGGCATCATCCAGCACTGACCATCGATATTCTCATATATGCTATATTTTTGACATCCTAGCTATTTACTCCTGTTAGAAATGAAAGCGCTGACTTGGAACCAAACCCTTACGAGACATACCTTTAGGTCGCTCACAATAAACTCCTTGTCTCTTGCGGTTCAAATTCACTAATGCCACTACGATATGAGAATTGCTCATATCATCCTAGGAATTCAGAATACTGGATGATTTATAAACCCTGGTAGATCATTCACAAATCTAGTCACATTTTTGCCAGATCCTAAATAAAATGTGCATAGATTGACCTAAGTAAATCAACAGATTGATAGCTACTCGCATCCATCGTATTATAAATTAGCGAGTCCTAGTATACTTTACGAACCTATTGTGCGTTCGCACACGATACATAAACCGCAACAATTTTTCTGAATTCACTAGTAACAACGCATGGATAACTACTGCACGGTTTCATGGCAATTTCAAAGTATATGGAGACCGCAAAAGCAAGACGCAAAACGTACAGCTGAAGCATTTCCCGATCAATGGGAAAACAATACACAAAGCCCCCAACTGAACGCTTGTCATCGGATAGACTGAGAAGGGCAGTCAGAGTGCATATTTATGCAACAAAAACAGCCCCTCTGCGATGATTGGATAACGCTTAATCTTCAAAAAGTTCCTTGAAATTATAAGTGTTTTCCACATATGACAACAAAGGGGGAAATCGATTTCTAAAATTGACCCATGAATTATCGTCCCGCCCCATATGTGCTTTGTATAGCTCTGAATACATTTCATCAAATCGAAAGTTCTCAAAATAGATATTTAATATATTATTTAGCATTTTGGAAGCAGTAATAATAGTTAGATGCCAGGACAAGTATTTTACTGATATTGCACCTCTACAGGGATAGTTGCCAATTGCTATCTTCGCGTAAATCATCCGCAAAATACTTTTTCAGGCTTCAGTGTCTTTTATTTGTATCATTATACATTCCTCCATATATATATATGCATGTCAAATGGGCGTTTGACCCTCACTGCTGTGGTTAGGATCTCCCTCGATCCCATTCTGTCCGCCCGCCAGCTTGCTACTGACGAAAACGAACGCTGTGTCAGAGGACACATACCATATATAATACATGAGCAGCTCGATAAGAGTGCAACAGGCCAGACGCAGACAGCTGTTTCACGGTCGTTACCGATCATCAGTACGTCATAGGCCTTATGAAGTGAGGCATATAAGCATGTCAGGTGGGCGTTTGACCCTCACTGTTGTGGATATGTGAATAACGGAGAGAGAATGCATTCCGAGACGATACAATAAATGAAGAAGAGTGTTATTACCGACAAAGAAAGGGGAGACTGGAATGGTCAGTTCTTGTTTATTAGCCGTCGTCAGCCAGTCATACCTAACCCCGAAGTGTGGAACACCCGAGTCTCGAACTCGCGACCTGTCTGTTAGAAGTCCACGCTTCTAACCACTGGGCCACGAGCCGGTTGCCTTGTCGGTTTTGATCGGGAATAAACAATGGTAGGGGGCGCTCATCGATCGTTCATGCGGAACTTACTCATTCCCTTGTGCCCTACGGGCCCTCTCTCGAACCCAATTAGCAGCCGCACAGCGGTGCATGCTATAGGCAGAATGTTATTACCGACAAAGACAACGGGCAACCGACAGGACAATCGGCCGGTGGCATAGTGCTCAGAGGCATTGGACTTCTAAATAACAGGTCGCGAGTTCAAGCCTCGGGTGTTCCACACTTCGGGGTTAGGTATGGCTGGCTGACGACGGCTTATAAGCCAGAAATGGCCATTCTAGTCTCCCTTGTCTTTGTCGGTAATACCATTCTGCCTATATATCATGCGCCGCTGTGCGGTTGCTGGTTGGACTCAAGAGAGAGTCACAAGACACAATGGTACGAGTGACTCTATATTGTCTTTGTCGACAATGTTATTCTGCACATAATTAAACATTCAGCAGATGGACTAAAACACGAAATTTTGACCGAGATGCTGAAATGTGTTTTCCACCCGAAAAATTATTTAAGTAGGTTTGGTAGATTAATAATTGTGCAGCATGATCTCGTGGTAATCCAATTACCTCAGGATGACGGCATTCGAAAGATCTTCCTTCCCGTCGTCATTAAAAACTCCATTCTGTAAAAACGACCAGTTAATTGTCAATTTCATCTTCAATTTTCGATGCCCTTACATATTCAAATATAACTTATAGAAAACATGCAACGAATATTTATTCTTTCACTCATTCGGTGGAAAGTTCTGCCTTCTTTAAATTCTATATTTGAAGGAAGGGTACAATTCGGTTTAAAAATACGTTCCTCATTCTAGGACACTTTTGAACCCGACGCGCCTTTGCACTTACATTCAGGGTTTACAAGATAAAAGCTGCAAGCTATATACAGTGAGTGGCCGACCCCATGAAAGGTTCACCGAAATTCTGAAATGTCCTTTTCACCTGGGGGGGATTACTTAAACGGGGTTATAATACTTGTTATCTTGCGGTGTAATCTTATAGTAAATGTAGAAGTAGAGGGGTTGAGGACCGAAACACCTTGTTTGTCGTCCTGAGCTTTTGGACTCATTCAGTGGTCCATCGTCAGAGATAGTAGCAGCAGAAAAACGAGCGACAGTTATAGGGTATGTAGGCCAATCATCGACCGACTGCGCACGATTGCAGGTGACTTCGCAGGGCTCTGCACGCCGCCGCCAAATCGATAAATTGGTTGACTGAGTTTTCACTTGAGGCCTAGACTTAAACCAATTCTCGGCCTGCATTTTCCGGCGTGGACGACAATTTGGTGGCTGTGTAGACGGCCACTTGTGATAATGTGTCGCCTCGTCGCAAAGCAAGCCTATATTCGTGTATGCGCAATTAGAGCCTGTATCCAGTCTAGCCTGTGTAGTTACAATGAAGGTTTTGACACGGGATGCAAAAGGACAGTAAACAAAATGTTCCGTTGTTCTAAAACTCGAAATTTTGCCTTCAATCTAATGATATGTTGGACTCACCAGGGTGTTGGCTTTTGAATGCACTTCTTTTCAACATCTTGCAGAAACCACATTCCATAAAAAATGGCTGCAAAAGAAGCAGGTATTTTTCACACTGATTTTCAATGATCTTATAAACTCAAGTATTTTTATGCAACTGTGCTTTCTTTTACTCACTTTGTGAACTAGCACGTTGTCTTCAGGTTTTATACTCAGGTAAAGGATATATTTTAGCCTTTTAAAAATTTGTAACCATCAGATTTCTGGAGACCGTAAAATGTCTATTCGTACATCATCGTGCGTGTTCGTTTACCAATGTTCCTCATGAAGTGTGTCACGTAGCCTCCATCCATTGCAAAATTTTGGAATTCTATACGTTAGTTTCTTAAAGACATAGAGGAATATACTATTTTTCTAACGCGGAAAGCATGCACCTCGTAGACTGAGATTGCTCAACGCTAACGCAACGGTTGATCTGGCCCAAAAATATTCGGGAATTTTTAAAACCATTTCAAAGCCTTAATATATAATATAACACGTGAAGACGATGTGATTTCTAACAGACGAGTAAAAGGAAACTTACTTTGTGCCCTTTTTCTTAAAACTAGATTTGAAACTAGAAACCATCGAAAATAAATGTGAAAAGTGTATATCGCCCATGTAGTCATCTTTTGTGGATTGCGCTTTTACAGGAGGTCGAAAAGAAGTAAATTCAAAAGCCAGCATCCCAGCTAGTCTGAAATATTTTGGGACTATACAGTAAGACAGTCAATTTTACAACCTCACCTAAGTCATCCATTCCCGTCGAAATTCGTACAACATTTTATAAGGTCCGTTACTCATAATACATTTCTATGTGTTTTTACGAGGAGATCATATACGGCTTGTTCTAAATTTGGCAGTAGATTTAAGCCATATTGTAGACCTTACGAGAAACAATAGTAAATTCAGAGACACGAAATTTTAAGAAAGGGTATTTTCCGGTCTTAAATTCCATAAATGGAAAATTTTTAAAACCGAATTATACCCTTTCTTCTAGTATAAAGTTTGAAGAAGGCGTAAGTTCCTAATAAATGAGAAGACAAAAGAATATTTTTATGCATGGTTTCTATGAAATATATTTTAATTTATAAAAGCGCCGAAAATCAATGAGAAAAATTCATACTTAATGAGCAGTCATTTTTATAGACTGTGGTCCCAGGCGGCCGAAACAAAATTCGTTCAAAAGCTGCCATCCTGAAGTAACTTACTTATTTTAAGATTATGCCGCATGACGATTAATATTACAGTTCAATTTAAGTAATCTTTTTGAGTGTTTATCACATTTCGGGATTTCAGTTAACAAGTTGTGTGTTAGCATGCATGTATGTGTAAATGTATTTATTCATGTTTATACACGGGCAGAATAGTATCGCAGACAAAGGCAGAGGAGACTGCAATGACCACTTCTGTCTCGTTAGCCTTTAATCCGCCCACTATACCGAACCCTGAGGTGTGCAGCCCCGACAGTAGAACCCATGATCTATTGCTTAGAAGTCCATGTCCTTCCTGTTGGGCCACGGGCTCATGGTCCTGTCGACTGTCATAGGTAATTCTATGAGTTCTTTGCGTAAACAAGAGACCCGGCAGATGTATTTATCTCACAGTCTTTTCTGACTTCGCATAATCTGTTGGATCTCGTCACATAACGTAGTGCCATAAATCACAGAACCTGGCTGAATACTCCTTAATCATTTTGCGTGCGAATGCGTCTGCTGACTAATGCAGTTAATTATCAGTAATCTATGTAGGCCGGGGTTTCATGAACGTCACATTGTTGGCTGACCGATTAGCAACCGAGGCACATTCTGTGGGATGTGAATTAGCAAATCGAGTGAGTGACGTCGCTCTTGAAAAGGGGTCCTCGTGAAATCTTGGACGTGCTTTATCATATTGTCACCATTGAAAAGGAAAATCGGCTTGCAACTAATGTTACAACATCATCTCAGTAGTGAATGGCGGTCCATCCCATTAACCGACGACGAGAGATATGATGAAGGAAACTGCGAGAGAGGGGAGTACTAGAAACGGGACGTTACATTTAACAACATTCTTGGGGCCTACTGGTTTTGGCAAATCAGGGTGAGAACGCTAGTACTGCATGGGAGTTTTCTAAGGATACGTTTTCCAGAATTAAGGTAATAAATTGTTAAATGTACCTACTTCCGACTTAAAATCTAAAAGTAACTCAAGAGCAGTTGAGCATGCTTTGCCTAGTTTGCATAGAGGGTATCTATTGGTTCTCTGTGAATGACGTAATTAGTTGCAAAGAAGGGTCGTTTTTTCCCCAGGAAACCACAAAGCGCATCTTACTTCCACGCAAGAAGCTTTACTATGTCAACTTTTCGATTATTACTAGTCAGGCTCCAAATACATAAATTTCACTCAAATTCCAAAGCACCTTAAGTAGGACGGCATGTTTGCTCGCCTTCAATCAATGCATACAGTAGATGTGCTAATTCATAAGATGTATGCGGAAATTCTGAAAGGCGTTTTCTACTCGAATAGATTGCTTAAGTAGGCTTGTCATATCAGTCATGTCGCAGAACAATCTTTAGATAATTCAATTACTTCAGGATGTCAACTTCCGAACGAAAGTCTTTCCGGTAGCCTGCGTAAACTGCTTTCTACAAAAACTGACTGCTTAATTAGCATGGCGATATATCATTGATTTTAGATGCCCTGACAAATTCAAATAAATTTTATAGAGACATGCATAAAAATGTTCGTCAGTCTTACCATTTTCTAGTAAAGTTCGTTTTCTTTAAATTTTATGCTTGACGGAAGGGTATTATTTAGTTTTAAAAAAATTCCAACGATAAGCATTTTTAGTATTATAAAACTTCCGTTCAATTAACATCGCACTTCTTGCAATATGGCTGAAGTCCAATGCCAAATTTAATGAACCCTATGGTCATGGAAATGCATGATTTTGTGTGCACGTAAAATGTACAGCTTGTAGTTTGGAAACCCCAAACCCCGATTCAACGACATTTTGGGTTCAAAATTTTTTCTTTCTTGGAAATATCTTTGAGAACGGCCTTTCCTTCGAGTACAAAATTAAAAGAAGACATAATGCTCTACTGCATGAGAAAACGAGCGAATGTTCTCATGCACGTCTTCGCTGATGTGCAATTGAATCTATAAGGGCATCGAATATCAATGATAATAATTCATACCAATATGTAGGCAGTTTTCGTAGCTTGTTGCGTCAGGCCAGCGAAAAGAAGTTCGTGCAAAATCTGGCATCCTGAGGTAACTGAAGTGTCTTTAGACAATGCTGCGTGGTGACTAATATTCCAGCGCTAACTAAGCAATCATTTGGAGCGGAAAATGCCTTTCAGAATCTTATTATCTAGCACATTTGCTGTGTATACTGCCTACAACAGATCTCTAATTTCCGTTCTTTATGCTAGAGGTGAGCTGCAGTGGGAAACTTTGGCGGTTTTTTTAATTTAAGAGCAAGCTAAGAGTATTTAAATCGCGGAATCATTTGAAGCTCAACTTCGGAGATAGAATGTGCTGCGTATTCTGGCAGACTTAATTTTATGGACTACAGTGAACAATTCACGATTATGTGGTGGGTGTAGTGTAAGCGTTTGGCAGAAGTCTAGAAAAGGATCATTTCCAGAGGGGACAGAAGAACGAATGAAATGTAAGACAGTGTGTTGTCGAGACGCGTATTTCACCTGGTCTGACAGTTGTCTGTACGTGGTGAGGGAGTTAGGAGCTCTTGCCTGTTTGCTATTGGATGCCGCATTTGAGAGCTGAAGGCGAGAGAGTGTTCAAACGCAGGTCGCATGTTTATCGATTGCGCGCCCCTAGGTAGATCAACGTGGGTGGGACTGGTGCTCGCGTGTACAGAACGCACAGTGTAAAGCAACCAGGCTTTGTGTGGCACATTGGTAAGCCCGACGTCTCAAAGTAGAAAGGAGAGGGGGCGAAACTGGTGGTGGCAGTAGTAGTGGTTTGTTCACCCTGACTGAAAATCCACCCATAACCTGCTCCCAGGGGCTGTGCAAACTGGAAATGTGTGCCTCCGAATAAGACCAGCGACGTTTGTTTACACTATTAGAGGCTGTTATTTAGTGAACGGAAATAAAAAAGATATGGATAGCTGGCTGTGGGCCAAATAGAGACGTTTTTGCAGAAATGCAGTGCGACAACATTCAGTCTGCAAATTTATCTAATTTGTCAGGCCAAAGTGCAACGTCTGCACTGGGAACAAAACAAAATTTTCTTCTCCCTTGCTTACGCTATTGTCATGCATAGATCAAGACTTGGTTTGAAACGTTTGGGCTTACCTTGAGCAACTTTGCGTATATTGAGTATTTGTAAGCCGGGGATGAAGAAGAGGAACTGCGGCAGAGTGAAGTAGGGAATCCGCTTCCTATTAAGAGAAAATGAGTGAAAAGGATTAGGAAAAAGAAGACTATAAGTTTGCAATATGAAGCAAACAGGCAGGCATGCATTTTGGAGAAGCACAACGCATTACGGAAAAGTTTAGCCAGTTAGATGGGCGGGGAGGAGCGGGTTGTAAGAGCCATTTCATTGAGCCGAACGAGTCGCACTTGCAAATCTGCGCTATGTCATGCCCTTTGCAAACACCCAACAACCTACCGCGAAACCACAAGCCATCTAGTGACTATGTCAATTTTGAGTATAACATAAAATATTTTCGTATAGTCTAGTTTCCACTGGTTCGCAACTCAAAAACGGAAAGGCAGAAGATTACTAGTCTTGGCAATATCATAGTATTAATGTGATCATCCCGTTGTGCATTCAAAATCGTAGAACAAAGCCTTAAAGTGAGTTAATATTGAGAAAATGGTTCCAATAAAAAAGGAAGAGGATTTTTTGTTAATAGCAGAAAGCGTATGCTTATTTTTCGCGAAAGTAGAAAAACCGACTAAAACGTTTTAATTTTCAACTTGACTTTACCTTGGTGAATGGTAAGTCTGTCACCCAACCACCATACCAAATTGCTTTTAAAGAGGTATCTTATAAGAGAAAAGTGTTCAATGGGTCCACAGCACAATTATTGTCGACCTTTCTTCTGTTCGCTCATTTTTCTTAGAAACGAGGTTGCATGTCTTAGTAAATCTATAAATAGAACTAAGTGATCATCTGTATTACGGAGAAAACATAAGCGCTTGCTGCTTCGATAAATGTTTTATTTTCAATGTTTTTTAAAACAGGCAGCTGACCTCCTCCGCAAGTACGGATGCTGTATTCTGGAAAACGAGTCAGCAGATCGCCAGACAACGTATTATGGGAGAGCGCGTCTAGAAAGTTTGGACACGTGATCTGTTACTTTCGTCTGTCTCACCCAATTTGAAAGTAATGAAAGCGGTGAGTAGTGAGGGAGAGGCAAGGCCGAATTTCCCCAACTCTCGCGCGAACGAATGTGTTTTCGTTTTAACTGCAGCCAACGCAAAACAAATTGGCAGCTAGCAGCCTGCAGCTCCAGGGAAAAGTGGGGAAGTTCATTCCTATCCAGCGATCACGACAAGTCGGCGCACGCCACATTCTTGTCTGACTAAATGCTCCCAATCTCAGTCGGCCCGACGCGAGCTTATTAATGCATACGCAAAAGGGACGAAGAGCCTAACCGCACGGACGCCAAATCTTAACGGGCGCTTCCGTATGTCAAGAACGTTTCGGAAGCTGTCGGCTGACTTCTCGCACCACTTGGGGTTGGAGTTGCACACAGAATGGAGGCAACCATCGGACGTCTGATAATGAAACCGAAAGACCCGCTGCCACGACTAGAAACGTCTGGAGTCGTTTATCGTATCTGGTGCAGTTGCGGACACAGCAACTACGTCGGAGAAACTGGTAGACAGCTCCAAACGGGAATGGCCGAACACGCTGTAGCGGTGCGGAGAAATGAGCCAGCTCCCAAGTTGCGGCTCATTCGACGAGATCCGGCCACACATTCAAATTCGACGAGGCCGAAATTCCCGCAAAAGGTGACAACCGCGTAAGCCGGGAGCTACTTGAATCATGGTTTACTGGCCCCCAGTCTATTAACAAGTGCAATGAACTTCACCTTGCATACTCGGTGCTGAGACTTCGCCTAGGCGGAGAAATTATCCACGCGGGGAGCGCACAAGTGAACACTCTTCCCAACACCAGGGTCGATGCGTCAGATGGTCGAGCAATCATCACACCAACATCCAACGCACGTGATGAAATTGCGGCAATTAACGACGCAAACGTCGGCCATCAAGCAATTAGCACATCAAGTGCGACGATCTCGGATGAAGGGGGGAGCCGTGAATGTTCATAGGTATGCGGTAGAAAAGCGACTGCATCCTATAAATACTGCAGCTCCTTGTGCATGAATCACCCGTATCTGCTATTGTCTCTGATGATGGATTCGAGCAGGAATCCGAAACGTCAGGCTAATAAAGCTCTTGTCCCATCAATCCTGTCACCTTCTTCAAAACTAATTCCTGAGACTCGTCTCTTCGCTTCTATTGGCAAGGACCACTGCATCATAATTCGGGGCTCCCCAGAGTCCTCCGCCAGTACCCCTAGGGAACGAGTCTCTGCTGACTTAGAGCAATTCCAGAAACTCCTAAGTAAAATGCTGCAATGAGCAGGCGAAACTAATCCTTTCCAGGCGTTTTCGATCGAAACATTCCCATAAAGGAGTGTTTTTTCAGTCGGTCTACTCACCTGACGAGAGGATGAAACGCCGCGAACTTGTCCTAGAATTGAGAACACGGCAAACCAACGGAGAACAAAACTTGACAATCTACAACGACCAGATAGTCAAACAACATTCCGCTCCCCTCTGGATCAAGCCGATCCGAATGACCGCACAGATGCCCCAGTAGCCTGTGTCGGGGTTGAAAACAAATGGCGCATGAACTCGAAACTCGTATTCATTTATACCAAAGCGCAAAGTGTACTTTCAAAACTGGATGAACTCCGTATCCATGTATTCGACGGTAAGATGATAGTTGGTAGTCGTGCCCACAGACTCCACAATGGTACCTACTGGCTCGATTTCAGTAGCTGTGATTGCGTTCTCATTATGCTTCTTAATTCACGCGCACGCTGTAGTACCTGTATCAGATTCATTTTAAAGATACTATCCTGGGCAGATTTGCACCGGTAACGATGATAATGAGACCTACCCTATGTCAAATTTCATTAGGAGAGGTAGTTGGAAACCGTGCCCACAGAATCTACAATTGTACCTACTGGCTTGATTTCAGTAGCTATGATTACGTTCTCATTATGCTTCTAAATTTGCATGCGTGCTGTATTACCTGTACCGGATTCATTGTGGAGGTACTATCCTGGGCACCGGTAACGATGACAATGAGACGTTCCCTACATCAACTTTCATAAGAAGAGGTAGCTCTTGACTGCCTCATTCATTGTAGAGGTACTATCTTGGGCGGATTGGCACCGGTAAAGATGCCAATGAGGCTTACCATTTAGCAACTTTCATTAGCAGAGGAAGCTTTCGACTGCCTCATTAGTTGCGGATTTTCTCTTCCGCCCAAACCAATTTTTCGCATAAAGATCTTACCCGGCTTGCGCTGTGGCGTTCCGCGTGCCGCTGCTTGACTCTCGTGTCCTCTTGCCCATTATGTTGCATGGAGTTTTATCGCTTACACTGCGGAATGACATTCGGACCAGTTGCCTTCTTCCCATTGCTTGTTCGCCTGCACTTGCTATTCGTTCCAATCTGAGGCTAGGATGAATTTATTCCACCACCGTTCAAAGTCTCCTTGCTCATTTCCATACCTTCCTTGTATTTTTCACCTAATCTAAATTAGGCTTCCACTTAACCTGGAGCGTCAATTCCTAGCATATACTACAATCGCCATTTACCCGTCCAGTCAAATGTCCCACCCGTATAGCCCCTATTACCACCGGTCCCGATTGACAGGCAGCTGGGAGTTCGCGGTGTCAAGAGGGCTACCAACTATCATCTAACCTATTCGACCTCCACCCAGACGTTATCTCAATGACAGAAACATGCTTATCCGAACAGATTGATGATAGGGAGCTCATGCTCCCTGGATTTCAACTGTTCCGCAGAGACAGAGGAAACAGAAGGGGTGTAGGCATAGTAACGTTTGTTAAGGATGGCTTGCATGTTTCTGAAAAAACTGCCCAATTACTTGTAGTACGGAAGCATAATGGCTGACTACAAGGGCGCCGGGCTCTTAAAGCCTCGATATCTTGACAGTATATCCTCCCGTGAGAATGAGCTCTGACGCTGATTTCCAACTGCTGGAGGAGTTCAGATTATTTTCAACGCGGCCGACTTCTCTCATCATTGGGGATTTTGACACACCCCACAAAAACTAGAGCTCGGCCTTAGCCGAGTGCTCCGAAGCAGCATTCTACCAGCAGTTACTGCATACCTCCGAAAATCTGCTTCTCACCCAACGCGTAATGTTTCTAACGAGAGTTCGAGAGGTCAACAAATGAACTGCCCTCATCTTGTGTTTGACCAATCGTCTGACAGCATCGAAGTTGTGAATTGCCTTCCCGCGTTGGGCCAGAGTGACCATGTAGTTCTCATGTGGGAATGCACATTATTCTCCCTGCCTGCACAACCGCTCAATTCCCGACCCAATATTTGGCTCGGTAATTTCAAACAGATGAAAAAGGATCTTAGTCCTATCGACCGGGCATCCTCTCTCTCCGGTGATATCGAAGAGGTTTGGTGTCAGTTTAGAGAGATAGTCCACAACCTCATCTCCAACCACTGCCCAATCATGCGCAGAAGACTAACGAATAGACCCCGCTGGTTGACTCCGTCCCTGAAGAAGGAAGTTAACAAGAAGAGGAAGCTATGGAAAAGATGCCTGATTGACCGGAGGCCAGAAGCCCTAAGTAGTTATAAGTTACAGAGAAATCGGGTGAAGATTCTCATCGCCAGAAAGCGGGAAGCCTTTGAAAAGGATCTTTTGAACCGTGCCATGGTTAATCCCAAATTCCTTTACAGCTGCATAAGACAGAGCACACGGAATAAAGATCCAATCCCACTGCTGCGAACAGCAGAGGGAATGGAAATCTCCGATGACAAGGATAAGGCTGAACATCTCTCTCAGTTATTCCGGTCCGTCGTGACAAGTGAACCTGATTTTCTTTCACCCAATTGAGGAGATGAAGAAACGCCTACCCTCGAAGCCGTCTTCTTCACCATAACAATTTTTCGGAATGAGCTACTAAACCTAAAAGAATCGACCTCCCCAGGCCCTGATGCAATCCCGGCCAAGCTGCTGAAGGGGCTAGCTCCCGAAATGTCCAAGCCGTTAGCCTTGATCTTTCAAACTTCATTTGTTACTGGATGCCCGCCCTCTGATTGGAAGTCCACTACCATCGCTCCGCATTTTGAGGGCAGAAGTCGTGCGTCTGCGAATAACTACAGGCCAGGGAGCCTTATCTCCATCAGTTGCAAAATCAGGAGAAGATAATTAAGAAGGCTTTGATGCAGTTTCTCGAGCAGCACCACCTCCTCTCTGATGCACAACACGGCTTTCGAAGTGGTAGGTCCTGTCTCACCAATCTACTCTTTACGCTCGAACGCTGGACCAAAGCACGTGATAAAGGCAAGCTGGTGCACGCCATCTACATCGACTTCAAAAAGGCTTTCGACAGCGTTCCTCATCAACGTCTCTTGTACAAACTGCGCAACGCTGGAATTCGTGGACGCCTTCTTGTATGGATCCAGAACTTTTTGGCTGGACGGTCCCAGAGAGTGCAGGTCGGGCGTCAACAGTTCTCATATGTAAGCGTGGTGAGTGGCGTCCCACAGGGCTCAGTCTTAGGTCCCACGATATTCCTCGTTTTCATAGATGACTGCGTCAAGGACCTAGACTGTGATTCCATCCTGTTTGCCTAGGACATGAAATTGTGGAAAGTTATTCACGATGCGGCAGACGCACACCACCTGCAAGCAAAGTTGAACAGGCTCGAAGACTGGTCGAAGCGCTGGCTAATGCCCTTCAATATAAGCAAATGTAACTTTCTTCAACTCGTCAGCTTCAGGGCCTCCAGCCCCAGGACCTACTTTCTAAACGGCACACCACTGCAACAGGTTGACATTCAGAAGGACTTGGGTGTATGGATTACATCTTCACCCAAAACCAACACTGCACTGTGCGAAGGCGGCTAAATCGGCTACGGCTACATTGCTACTCATTAGGCGAGCCTTTATGGGATTTGACCCTGACTGCTTTTGCAAAATATTTGGCACTTACGTGCGGCCTCATCTAGAATATGTCATACAGGCGTGGAGACCTTGGACTGCCAAGGATTATATCGTCTTGGAGAAGGTCCAGAGACGGGCGACCAAAATGACACAAGGTCTGGAAGCACTGCCCTATGAAACCAGACTGTCAACTCTCAACCTGTTTTCACTTTCCCACAGGCAATTACGTGGTGACCTTATACTAGCATTTCGCATTATCAACGGCCTAGACTGTTGTTTAGAACCCACTGATTATTTCACTCCAGCTAACAGACCACTTTGCGCGGTCATTCCCTAGAACAACGCGCCGGGAAAGCAAGGATTAATATACGAGAGTTCTTTTTCAGTAACAGATTGGTTGCAGTGTGGAATGCCCTGTCTACCGATGTTGTAATCTCCTCCTGTGTGAATTGCTTTAGGCGTAGACTTGACCTGCGTCAAGTTTCCCACTTACCCTCTTCACATCTACTCACATAACCCGGAACCAACTTATAAAAGTTTATAGTACTTGCAATTAGTGAGTAACTGTTAATGATCATGCTTTGTCGACTATCTGGCAACGCAACCTTCCAAGCGCATTCTCGATGGCTTTCACTAACTACCACTCGGCTACAACGGTAAAACTTGTTTTCCTAGATAGACGTAGAAACCGCCAAAAATGGCTACCAAGTCCATATGCCTTGCGTGACATTTCAGCCGGACAATTGTGCAACATTTATTGCCGAAAGTATTGTCTAAAGGAAGCAATGAGTTAGAACATCTAAATGTACACTAAATTTGAGTGAGACAGACGGAATTAACAGATCAGTGATCACTCGCCCAAACTTCGTAGAAGCGCTCTCCCATCAGACTTTGTCTGGCGATCTACTGACGCCATTTCCAGAAAACAGCATCAGCACGTGCGGAGGAGGTCAACTGGCTGTGGCCGCCCTTGGGAGGGGGAAGGCGAAGGTCCAACTTACCTGGATCGGTCAGACCAGCGCACCGTCGCAGTCTCACCTGATCTGCGCAGGTTCCCGACGTCGCAGGCCCCGTGACCCACTCTGTGCATCGAACACACTTCACCCAGGTAAGTTCTGCTCTGTGATGATTAACGTTGAGTCCATAAATGACAGCTGCTTTAGGAACTATGGAGATAAGTACATAATTGAAGATATGGAGATCGCGTAGTCAGACCGGACCACAAAACACAGACGAGAGCTCCCAATGCCGATATGATTTAGGCAAGCTAAACTTATGAATTAGCATCTGACGTGTCGTGCAGTGATCGTTTGGTCTGTGTTTTAAAGATGAATATCACCGAATTCTACTAATTAGTGATAAGTTTTACCTGCACTGGCCTGAAGTGAATTCATCTGAAGCAAGCGTGTTCTCGTCAACCGGTTTCGCGAATCCTGAAATTGCAGAAAATACATACATCCAGAAATAATGTTTGCGACGACATCATCGACTAGCCGTCAGCTGTCCGCGATTGTGTACAAAATCCCTTTTTCACCTTCCCACTTATCCGTGTTCTTCTCCATCGACCTGTAACTAATAGGGAGTTCAAAGGCGCTGGTCTGTTTTTCCCTTAATAAACTGAAACTGAAAGTGAACCAAAAGAACACCTATTGGGAATGCGCGTTGTGCTTTGAATGGTTGACAAATAGTTGTGCTAACCCCTAACCTTAGACATAACCCCTAAATATAACCCTTAATACTAAACCCTTACCCTAACCCCCAACCATAACCCCTAATTTTAACCCCAAATTTCAACCCCAGCAATACTGTGTCCATCAGGTGGGACTACCGAACCACATCTTTCTGAATATTTTCTCATAAAGAGCGTCAAAATGTCCATAAAATAAAATCATGTATTTGCAAGAAAAAAATTGCATCTCTGATAATATCACAGTAAATGATGTCATTATAGAATAGTCCTCCCGCTGAAGATATTTTCTGAGTAAAAATTAAAGACAATAAATGAAATCAGCCCGTCTGCCATAGCGATACTCACAAACGCACGCACTCCGAAGGAGACCAGGAATTCCTAAGAGGAGCAGACAGTTGATAGAGCAGAGTTAGTGTGTTTTTCTTTGAGAAAGTGAAGTTCCAGTACAGGAAAATATCTGGGTAGGGGATCTGTACCAGAACCGCATGTATACATATCCCGTTTGGCACCATTCAGCCAGTGTAACCATAATGTGCAGTCAGAAAACATTTCAGCAGTCTGTTTGACTATTCAGTATCAGTATCAGTTTATTAAGGGAAATATAGGCAAGCGCCTTTGAATTCCCTCTTGGTTACAAGTCGTCGGAGAAAAACACTGATAAATGGGAAGGTGAAAAAGGGATTTTGTACATACTCGCGGACAGCTGGCAGCTAGTCGAAAAAGAGTAATCATTAATGGTTACTTACTAATTACAAGTAGTATAAACACGTATAAGATGGTACCGGGTTATGTGAGTGGATGTGGGGGTGGTAATTGGGAAGCTTGACGCAGGTCAAGTCTACACTTGAAGGAGTTCACACAGGAGGAGGTTACAACATCGGTAGGCAGGGCATTGCAGGCTGAAACCACTCTGCTACTGAAAAAGGACTTTCGTCCATTGGTTCTTGATTTCCCTGCGCGTAGTTTTAGGGGATGACCGCGCAAAGTGGGCGTGTTAGCTTGGGTGAAATAATCAGTGGGATCTAAACAACAGTCTAGGCCGTTGATGATGCGAAATGTTAGTATAAGGTCACCACGTAATTGCCTGTGGGAAAGTGAAAACAGGTTGAGAGTTGACAGTCTGGTTTCATAGGGCAGTGCTTCCAGACCTTGTGTCATTTTGGTCGCCCGTCTCTGGACCTTCTCCAAGACGATATAATCCTTGGCAGTCCAGGGTCTCCACGCCTGTATGGCGTATTCTAGATGAGGTCGCACGAAGGTGCCAAATATTTAGGAAAAGCAGTCAGGGTCAAATCCCATAAAGGCTCGCCTAATGAGTAGCAATGTAGCCGTAGCCGATTTAGCCGCCTTCGCACAGTGCAGTGTTGGTTTTGGGTGAAGATGTAATCCATACACCCAAGTCCTTCTGAATGTCAACCTGTTGCAGTGGTGTGCCGTTTAGAAAGTAGGTCCCGGGGCTGGGGGCTCTGAAGCCGCCGAGTTGAAGAAAGTTACATTTGCTTATATTGAAGGGCATTAGCCAGCGCTTCGACCAGTCTTCGAGCCTGTTCAACTTTGCTTGCAGGTGGTGTGCGTCTGCCGCATCGTGAATAACTTTCCACAATTTCATGTCCTAGGCAAACAGGATGGAATCACAGTCTAGGTCCTTGACGCAGTCATCTATGAAAACGAGGAATATCGTGGGACCTAAGACTGAGCCCTGTGGGACGCCACTCACCACGCTTACATATGAGAACTGTTGACGCCCGACCTGCACTCTCTGGGACCGTCCAGCCAAAAAGTTCTGGATCCATACAAGAAGGCGTCCACGAATTCCAGCGTTGCGCAGTTTGTACAAGAGACGTTGATGAGGAACGCTGTCGAAAGCCTTTTTGAAGTCGATGTAGATGGCGTGCACCAGCTTGCCTTTATCACGTGCTTTGGTCCAGCGTTCGAGCGTAAAGAGTAGATTGGTGAGACAGGACCTACCACTTCGAAAACCGTGTTGTGCATCAGAGAGGAGGTGGTGCTGCTCGAGAAACTGCATCAAAGCCTTCTTAATTATCTCCTCCCTGATTTTGCAACAGATGGAGGTAAGACTCACTGGCCTGTAGTTATTCGCAGACGCACGACTTCTGCCCTCAAAATGCGGAGTGATGGTAGTGGACTTCCAATCAGAGGGCAGGCATCCAGTAACAAATGAAGTTTGGAAGATCAAGGCTAACGGCTTGGACATTTCTGGAGCTAGCCCCTTAGCAGCTTGGCCGGGATTGCATCAGGGCCTGGGGAGGTCGATTCTTTTAGGTTTAGTAGCTCATCCCGAAAAATTGTTATGGTGAAGAAGACGGCTTCGAGGGTAGGCGTTTCATCGTCTTCATAAGCGGGTGAGGAATTATTACTGGAAAGGCGAAGTTCTCCCCTTGTTCTCATTGCTTTTGTATTGCGTACGAAATTGTAGGTGACAATTTGACCCTCGCATCCGACGATGTCCGCCGTCTGCTCCACAGTGAGGGGGGGGGAGGCACGGTAACTTGCACGTTAATTAGTTTATAGCGAGAGTAGACTTGCGCAACATCTAATGCGCTCTCTCCACCCCACCCCTCTGGCCTGCACCCGCGGTCAAGGCTTAGACAAGAAGATCGGAGGCGGAAAAGGGCGCAGGTGGCTGGCACGGCCGGACCCACGCATAGGTTTACCGCCACAGGCTCTCAAAAAAACACATGATCAGGATTTTAACCAACAAAAACACAACAGCGGGTCGGAAAGCGGAGGAGGACCGGGCAGCTATTCTCACGACCTGTATACCCAGCGGAATTTCAAGCACCTCTACCGACAGGGAACCAGGAGCCAGCGAACTGGCAGGGCACATCAGACTGTCGGGGCTATGGTTTGGTGCATCGTGGCATAACATTGATGAAATTGAAGGTAATGAAGTCATGTGTGTGTGTGTGCCCTCAAAACGGGCCACGTGTTAGATGCGCTGGACCAACACGGGGGCCACATCGGACTTTGGCAGGCGTTATCTGTGCGCAATAACAAATGCCAACATTCCCGGGGTGCGCTGGCGGACCCTGTTGTCGGCATTCGTCGCACAACTGGACCACTGCCACCACCCCATTGTTTTGCGGTCAAAATCCTGGTCATTTGTGTGTGGACCAGGAGGTGTGGTGGAACGCCTAGGTGAGGATCCGTCCGAGCCATCCACCTGCGGCCTCCCTCGTCTCCGGTCTTCTTGACTCTGTCTTGACACCGGGCCCAGGCGGGGAAGGAGGAGAGAGTGTAGGTAGATGCTACGCAAGTCTACTGGCACTATAAACCCCTGCGTAAGTCACCGTCCCTGCTTCCACAATGCAGTCTGTGGGGCACACGGTGGTCATCGTCGGAATCGACGGACGAACTGTCGTGTGTGTGTGTGTGTGTGTGTGGCAAAGTCCAGTGTATCCTCGGCGCCATGCTAAAGTATCAGCTCATATTAGTTTTGAACTACTTTAACATCAGAACCCTCAAAAAAACGATTTCAGTGATCAGCTGATAGACCGGAGAATTCACCAGAGTCCACCTAGTTCTACTTACAGAACTCAAACCGTATGCTGTTTCTTCGCAGCAACTACCCGTTTTTTGTCTCATCACCTGACACCCACTCGCGAGAAATGTTTTCGGTCACTTACCGGATCTGCTGCAATTGCAGAAAAGGAACCTACGTCGAATAAACTGGGGGACTGCTTCGGATGCCAATCGCTGAACATGTGACAGAATTGCGGAGAAATAACGTCAACGCTCAAGTCGCGGCCCATTAGATGAAACCCGGCTACACATTAAAGTTCGATGAGACCGAAATTCTAACGAGAGGTAACATTCGCGTGGGCAGGGAGTTACTCGAGTCATAGTGTACAAGACCGCAGTCTGTCAGGTAGTGCAAGGACCTCCCACCCCATATTCGGCGATGAGACTTTGTTTGGCCATATTAATAAGCCACTCGGCGAGTGCGCAGACCGGTGAGCCAGGCGACTGAGCAATCTTCGCGCCAACCTCCAGCACGGGTGGTGAAATTTCAGCAATGACTCGCATGTCGGCCATCAAGACGTTAGCAACCACCCTCGATGAAGGAGGGAGACGTTTCTTGTCGTCTGTATGCGGTGGCCCAGCGACTGCATCCTACAAATACTGCATCCTCCTGTGTATATGTATCTGATGCTGTCTCTGGATATAGATTCGAGCGTGAATCTAAAACGTGGGGCGAATGCCGTTCTTGTTACAGCAACTGCATCTACTCCTCATGCCCACTTTCCCTTGGCGTTGCGGGTTGCTAGCTGCGAAATGTTTGTTAGTATGGTATGCTGTTAGTATGGTATCACCTTACCCTAAAGTATACTGCTAGCTGCCTATCGGCAGTTAATGAATATTATGCGGTTACGTTTCAAGCAGAATTATGCTTTTAGTATCTCATGTTTTAGTTTCTCATATAAAAGCTTACTTGGTTCCTTTCGTCCAAAGGCCATTCTACGAGTGACTCATAAGTCACAGTCCCTCGGCACCTTTTCTCTTAACCGCTGTGTGATCAGATGCCTGAATGCAGCAGTTACTGAATTCAGGCTCTCACCTTGTCAATAACTACAAGAGGATGAGTGTATTTAGCCGCGGAGTTCCCAGAAATGACCTCACTCCCCCTTCTCACTCTTAAGCACAGTCCACAGTCCGAACCGGTCAACTAGGTGATGAAGAGGTTAGGTGCGAGTGGCTGACAGACGTAGAGGATCCGTCTGCGCGTGCCACACACGACACAGCCCTTCCCACAACACACCGGATATTCATACAAAGGGCTGAGCAGCTCGGGTCCCACACGCGTGGGGATGCCATAAAGGCCGAATGGCACGCATCCCACCCAGGTTAGAGACGCCTAGTCCATGTCTGTGGTTAGCCATTCTCACGACCGGGGAATTATTGAAGAAGTGAGGACCTGACTTCAAAGTTTTTGTTGGCAACGGCGAAGATAAAGGACGCACAGAAGTGTTTGAGTCACAAGAGGTTTACACTTTTGTAATGCGCCCTTCATTCGGCACTTTCCCAAACAGAACTTTATCCGAGAGAGTAGAGGAGGAACTAGCCACTTTTGTCAAAGGGAGCATGCATTTTGCTAAAAGCATCATAATTCCAGTTCAACATTTTGGTATTCAAAATTTGGCCATGTGATGCTCAAAGGGGCCGGGCAAAAACAAAGCCTATGATACGCAGATGGATATCTTATTTTGTCAAGTAAATAAAAATGCACATCGTCAAAGTCCCATCCTCTTCCCCATCATTTTAACTGTATTTGCAGACGTACGTAAAATCGAAGACGAAGAAAATAATGAAAACGGGAGCTTCTGGGGGAAGAATAAATAAAACTCCTAAATCTCATTGGTGAATCCCCTTGCTTTTTTCTAGAGTAAATACGCTTTGTTATAGCTAGGGCCGGCCGCAGCCAAAATGCATACCTTAACGTTGCGCAGTTGGTTAATTATAACAAACTCCACTTCCAAGATCTCGTGGATACAAACACAGCTGTATCACAGTCATCCCGCAGAATATCTACGCTCTTATGAGCGTGTTTATCACAGCAAAAAGGAGACATGTAGAGCATCCACTCTGGAAATTTCGTAACAGCCTGCGAATGCTAACATTGCTCATGCACAATAAGCAACCAGCTTAAGAACACTTTCGATCAGGTCGCAGGCAGCAGGTAGAAGCATCGAATAAACGCCACCCTACGGTCAATCCGAATTCTTAGGAGGGCTTCACCTCAATTCAGACGCACTATTTTTCGACCGCAACCGGTAGAGCAATGGGCCCGTGGTTCAGAAGTAGAGGGCCGGCTTCAATGGTACATAGTGACAAAAGGGTCCGGACCAGAATTCCAGGCTATCCAAACCCGGGGCTGGGGGGGGGGGCTTGCAATAATTCAGAAGCGGCCGTCCCTGTCTACATTAACAAGACATGGAAGTTGTGTATCGTCTCTTAAAATATGCTCACATCAGCCTAGCTTGGCCTTTGCTGGGGCACGCGTAATTAGTTTACTCAGCAAAAGTCTGTCGAATCCTACATTGCAGGCTTTAAGAAAGAGAGAGAGGAATTCGCTTTATTTAGAAATTATTAATTCAACATTTTCATCAAGGATGGGCTCCACTTACTGCAGACAGAAAATAAGTTAATAAATTACTCAAGAGCCAAAAGGCTTTACACACAAAGGAACGAATATTATGGCGAAAGTTCGAGTCTTAGCTTCTGTATTCCTGCCTCTTCGCACGTTAGATAGCGCGCCAAGAACGACAATACTGAATGTTGATATGTCGGTGTACGACAAGAGGTAAGTCTAAAACCACGGTGCATGGGACGGAAAGACTTCTCAGATGTTTGTTTAGAATGCAGTGGATGAGCAATTTCATGCAGAATTCGATCAGCAAATTACTTGACCGTTTTGTAATGTTGTTGCAGGTTAATATCGACTGAAGAGAGATAAAAAACACCAGCAGCAGAAGAGAACATTCGGAGGACTCATTTAAAATCAACAGATCTTTTTAAGCGAAGCAGGAACACTGACAGGAGAACAATATAGAATAAGAGGAAGAATGCAGGCATATACGAATCGCCAGATAAAGAGATGAGGTGTGTGGGAGGAACGTAGACAACGAATATAATAAAGATGTTTACAAACTTTAGTGAAAAGGGACTCAATATGGAGTGCGAATGAAAGATTTTGTGACACAATAACGCCAAGATACCTGAAAGAGGACACCTCGTTAGGAGGGGTGTCTAAGTATTCAGAACTAGAAGAGGAAAGCACATCGAACTGATTTTGATTGTTCAGTAGGAGACCATTTTCCTACGACCATACTGAGACATGGTCAAGACCATCCTTCAGGGACTGGAGATATGTCTGACCTTTGAGAGTGTGTCCGACAACCACATCATCGGCACACTTAATTAATAGACGGTCATTTTGGGATTGTAGATCCTCAGTGTGAAGGGAAACGATGTGAGGGGATAAAATGGAACCTTGAAGAGCTCCACAGTCATGGGGAAGGACTGTCAACTTCCGCTTGCCGGATTGGACACTTTGAGTGCGGGAGGTAAATAATCGCCATGCCAAGAAACAACCCAGCCTAGAGGGCCGCACGCGGATGTTTCAGTAAGGCGAAAATGGCAGGGAATGGTATTGAAGGTGGAGGGGTAGTCAAGAAAAGCACATGTGTACGCACG